TGTTCAAATCAAGATATCCAGAGCAACTGAGGGCTAACCACTGCAGCAAGTGCTAATTAAAGCATGTGAGAAGATGTTTCATGTAGCATCCAACTCCAAAACCACAAGGTTAATGCTGGGTTGATGAAGCACTTGAATTTTCTTTTCATAGGGACATGGTGATTTTTCAGTGGTGGGAAAGGGAAGTATGTAAAATAATTAAAGTTATATTCAAGTCATATAGAAGAGCTTTCAGAGAAGAAATTTGTGCAAAGGTTTTCAGTAGTATTTTATCACCTTATACAGGATATTATCTTCAAAAATGTAGTGCTCATGACTTTTGGTCCTCAACCTTCAAAACAGTTATAATACAAAACTTGGGCAAGTGAGTTTAAATTCTAAAATGCCTATAGCTACAAAACCTTTTGAGTGGAATAGAAAAGAATCTGCAGTTTGGATACAGCTAACTCTTACCAACATTGGGTTATGTTTGACCATGGAAATATTGTCACTACACAGAAAATATTATGAATGCACAGATCATGGCAAATTACAACACACACACACAAATGTGCCATCCCATGATGCACAGATTACAGGAGAAGTCTTATACAGGAATGTTCTGTAACTCTTTCATGAACTCCATTTCCTCCCATGGAGGAAAACATTATTGTAGCACCTACTTGTGTGCCACAGTTACATACATCCTCTAGTCATTAGCAGGCAATGAATTTTTGATTGCTTACAATAATTTTCTCTCATTTCAGCCAACTCTGTTCCAACACAGGAAAAGAACTGTCTACAAGTCTGATGTAATTTGTCAGGTTTGTGCATGGTTATGTAGGATATCCTGTTTTTGTGAAAACTATGTCTATAGAATCCTATGGCTATTTAGGGAAAAAGGGGTCCTGGACTGCCATCAAAAGGTTTTGATTAAGTGCAAGACAGCAGTAAGCTGATTCAGATTTTGTAGATGTATCAAGGCCCCTGCCTAAATGGCTTTACCAGAACATGAAATCAATCATTGGAGGCATACCTGCATTGATGCTGAAATCCCAAAACCCCTGGTATTTGCTATTTTGAAATACACTGCCTCCCTCTCCTCCTATGCCCATAAACCCTTATGGCATTAAACCAGGTAAAAGTCCCTAGTCAGCAAGCTACAAGAATTAGACACTGTATGATAGAGCAGATTGATCCCCAAGGACTTTTACTATCCTTAACTACATCTCAGCTACCATTGTTGGGAGAACCAGATAATGCTTAAATATTGAGACAAACCAATAAACCATCAAATCTGCTTTCCGTTTGCTTGTTTTTTCCCCCACCAACTGCTATTGTTTTTTGAGGTTCAAGCTGTACCTGCTCTTCAGAAAAAAATTAAAATTATATTAAACCTGATTATGTTTAACAGGCTCTGAGTCAGAAAACCATGTGTATGCAGAATAACATAGTAAAAATCTGAAGTAGCTGCACTAATTCCCTACTGTTCCCATCCTGCTGACCTTTTTCTTGCCTGGAGAAGAAGCCCAGAAAAAGCTCCTTGGATTAGTTCTTATTGGAATCCAGAAGCGGAAGAAGAAAAAAACCCAAACATGCTTTGTATTACTTTTTCTGTATCATTAAGATAATTAGATAAAAATCCCACCAGAGGATAAGGAAACAGCATTTCTGTACTGAAGAATTAGGAGCTATAAAAATTAATTTCATACTTCTTTACAAATATAGATGCTGTTCTTCAAATTTTCTTTCCCACACAAGCTGTAGCCATAGAACCAATGAATTACAACTTGTGAAAGGCTGGGGCATGTCCAGGGAGGACATCTGAATCTAGGAACTTAGAAGCCTTCATTATATTAATAATTCATATAGGTCAAAGGCTGTGCCCAGTGTGCACATGAGCCCAAATGGTTGAACTCCACAATATAAAAAAAATCGAGGCTTTCCATTTGGAGGCTTCCTGAAGCTCCTATAAGTGGAGATGGTCAGGGATAGAAAAGACACTTCTAGATCATGGAATGAGGAAGAGGCGGGGAAATACATGTAGTCAGGTGTGGAAGGAATGAAGAGTAGAAGGGGATCCTTAGACACCTGTGTAAGTCAGGTAACCCGAGACTGCTGCTCTATTTCTCTTGTTTTCTCCTAGGATCTGACTCTGGGATAATAGGCCAACTACATAGCAATGCCTATTAAAGTCATGGTAACATAATAACTTATGTTGGAAGAGGTGTCTGGAAATCATCTGATCCAAAACCCATTCAAAGCAGGGCCAACTTCCAAGTTAGGCACAGGTGAAACAGGTGAACCAGGTTGCTCAGAGACAAATCCAGATCACTTTTTTGGTGATTGTCCAATCCATCCTCACAACCATTTCTGCAGACAGCACTAGAAGCTCAGCTTCCTCCTTGACTCTGGCCCTTCCAGCTGTGAGTACCTTTCTCATACACACACCTCCTTCTACTTCATTCTTCAGAGCTGCCTAACTTTCTGCTAATTGGTGATGCTGTTGCAGAGCTGAATATTCTGTGTGACCACTGCCCAACTCTTCACATAGTAGAATCATAGAATGGATTGCATTGGAAGGGGCATTGATGATCACTTTGTTCCAACCCCTCTGCCATGGGCAAGGACACCTTCAACTAACTCAGGTTGTTCAAAACTCCATCCAGTCCAGCCTTGAAAACTTCCAGGAATGGAATATCTACATCTTTTGGGCATCCTGTTTCAGTACTTCACACCCTTGCAGTATAGAATTTCTTTCTTATAGCTGACATAAAACTAATCTCTTTCAGTCTGGACCTGTTGCACTTTGTCCTACCACTGCATGTCCTTGGTGAAAAATACTGCAATTGCTTAAAAATCATCTAAGTAAAAAATAAAGTAGAATAAAACCTATACATTGCTTATATCAGCACTGAAAAATTCAGAGAAACAGTAGGTGCAAGTTGAAAACAGACATGTTTGAGAGAACACTGTCTGATTTCTACAAATACTACTACCTAATTATGCTAATTAACATCAGCACTTGTAATGAAAATTATATTCTAAGGAATAGCTGTTTTTCAATCAATATTATAAAACTGAGCTGACAGATAATGATAAGTATTTGCTGTGCCTTGGGGAAAACACATTTTTATTAATGCATTGGGACTAGGATGAGACCAGGCTGAATTTTTTTATGATTTAAATATAATTATTTATTTGAGTGAAAATATTGAAAAATTGTCTTACTGTAGTAAGACATGTACCTGCATGGTAAGCAGGGAAGGTAGAGTCTTGGCTTGTGTCTGAATACATACCTAATGCTAAAGGAGACTTTTGTTTTAGATGTTTTTCTACTTTCAAAAAATAAAAGAAATCTTCAAATCCAATAAAAACCATTCTGCAGTAAACAGGTTTTGTAAAAATGTTGCTTTTTCAAATTTATTTTTAAAAATAAGTATTTGAAACTAGAGACCTAATAATCTCCCTAGACTGAACATATTTATTGAATCAGTAGCCTGAACACTTCCAGGCCAAAGTGCACTCATCACTTACTCAATACAGAATTCAGCTTCTCTGACCCAGATGTCAAAAAGAGAACTCAATAAAACTTGCGCTACTCAAAACAGACAAATCATGAACAGAACCATTCTCTGCCTGTTTAAGAATAAGTCTCTTAAATATCTGAGAATAAGGAAATACTGCATGAGTAATAGAAGTTTAAAAAAATTTCCTGGCTACTGTTTATACAACAAATATAAAAATAATAGGTTATGTTTTAACAAGCAAAATGTGAGACAGTCTGACATATGGGGATGATGTTAAAGCCTGGACCTTCAATCCCAGAGTTGTGGTAGGGAAACCCTGAAACTGGAGTGTCTTTTTTATTCTTCCAACTCTAATAATTTGCTTCTAAAGTTCATGTAGTCCAATGATTGCATGAGTAGAAGTCTCCAAAGGCCTTACTTACTCCAGTCTCACAATGTCTTTTGCAGGCTTGGTGTGGAAATTTGCAACACCCTGTTCTTCCATGGTTTCATTGCTAACAATGTGGTTTACTGATGAACAGCTGTAAGTGTCTGACAATTTGGAGAAGGGTTGTGCGTGCCACTTGCTATGAATAAAGGATATCTCTGTGCTACTTGCTTCTTTGCTGACTGTATATCTTTGTAAAATAAACTGCTGACAACTTTAGAGAGTGGTGCTTCTGGAAAGTCTGTAGCAGTTGACAGGTTGGATGGGCAGTGCTGCATTTCTTTTTCAGAAAGTATAATTTGCAGGAAATGGCTTAAAATTTCCAAAGTGACTAGATTTTGAATGGTGCTTTTTTATTCTTTCTTTTATTAATGTCTTTTTCTTCTGTTTTCTTTTTTCTTCTTTCTCTCTCTCTCTTTTCTTTTTTTTTTCCCTTTCTCTATTTTTTTTAATCTTTCTGTCCAATGAAAATTAAAATTCTTTTTGTTCTTACAAAGGAACATCTTAGCCAGTGCTGGGACAAAAATCTGTTCATCTTTCAAATTAGGTGTTCACTAATTCATTCTGCCCAAATCACATTTTATTTTTTTTTTATACAAGATCAAAGAAATTTCATAAGTGTCAAAGCAGACTTACTGAAGTGCTCATGACATCAATTCATTGGAGCAATGACTCCATCATTGAGAACAGTCTTCCCCAGACTGCTGCAGCATGGGTCACTCTTCCATAGGCTGCAGTCCTTCAAGGACAGGCTGCTCCCATGGGTGCTCCCTTCTCCACAGCCTGTTCTCAGGCATCCAGCTGTTCCACTCTGGGTCTCATCCCCAGGCTGCAGGTGGATCTCTGCATCCCCATGGCCCTCCAGGGGCTGCAGGGCCACAGCTGCCTCATCGTGCAGGGGAATCCCAGTTCCAGTGCCTGGGGCACCTCCTGCCCATCCTTCTCCGCTCACCTTATTCCTCTTACATGTTCTCACCTCACTCTTATCTGGCCAAAATTACAACTGTGTAATAACTTTTTTTTTCTTAAATCTGTTATCACTGAGGCCTTACCACCATTTCTAACTGGCCCAGACTTGACCAGTGGCATATCCATCTTTGGAATTGCCAGGGATTGGCTCTGCTGGACATGCAGGAAGCTTCCAGCAGCTTCTCACAGAAGCTGCCCTTACCAAAACCTGGCCATGCAAACCCAATATACCACTTTATTCTCATGTGAGTATAACCTAACAAATATGACACAATATTTATAATACTGTTATAATATTGCATTTTATAATGTTCTGTTGTAAGAAAAATAAATTAATCTGAAAGATATAATTATATATATTATAATTGTATAAATATAATACAATAAATATAATAATATTGGAACATAATGTATGTAATATGCTGCATATATATATGTATGTGTGTGTGTATATATATGTATATAGATATATGTGTAAAAATATTGTTATATAATATCTTTGAAGTTCTTAGCATTATTGGACACACAGGCTATAATGGTAAGCTAAACATTTCAAGCATCCTGAGGCCAGCAGTGCAGCTTGATGTAATTTATACTATTAAATGGTCCCACCTTCCAGAGCAGGGTGGTCATGCTCAGGCTGCCTTTTAGATATGGTCCTTGGCACGTGCTTGTTTCTGTTTTCATGCCCAGCAGTAGTTTCGGAGATCCTTGATTGCCTGACAAAACCATACTAGGAATCATTGTTATTAGTTACAGATGTGCCAATAAAGTTGAAAAATCAGACAACTTCTCCCCCTCACTTCATGTTTTAGACAAGATTTAACCAATTCTCTTGGCAGATTTTCAGAGTAATGCCACCCTGCTTTAACTATTGCACCTCATATAACTTCCATTTTAAAGAGTGAACCAGTATTCCTACTCATGATTAAATAACACACTGAATGAATATGTCATAAAACAGCACAGAATGTAGCTGATTTTAACCTTTTTCTTTAATGTACTTTTAAAAGACTGTTCTTACTCAAATGTTGATGCTAGGCAAAAGAAGCTTCTGCTAGAAAGCTCCGTTTTATATCCTCATTACCATCCTCATCACAGAGTTGATTATGATAATTGTCACACTCATCATGACCTACAATTATTTACATTTTATGCTTCCATTCTGTTTAAAGAATCATGTCATTGAGCACATTATTATTGTGTTTAGGTAGCATACCTGAAATTTCAGGTCTCAAAGAGTGCTCTTCTAAAGCTGTGGGAAGAAATAACAGTCAGAGATAAAGAAAATGACAGTAGGAAGAAGAAAATTGTGATAAACAGCTTTAATGAATGTCAGTCACAGCACACCAGCTGCTAGGATTGTGAATATTTAGCCAAAAGGCTGATACTTCAACTACTTATTTTCCTGTATAAACCTAATGAACTGAACATCCACAGGGTCAGGACCCCTGCTTGCATTTTGTTAGAGCTGTCTGGGGAGCTATGAATTCCATAGTGCTCATGTTTTTAGCAAATTTCCGTGACTTTCAACATGTTGAGGTATTTGTGGATGGCTGGACGTGAAAGTAATCAGCTGTGTTAAATTCACTGAGAACCCTTGAGTGCTGCCAATTTAAACTTTAGGCTGAACAGACAGTTGAGAGAAGTAAATCAGCCAAAAAAATTCTGTGGTAATATTGTTCAGATTGTAGTTCTTTTAATTTGTTAAGTATTGACTGCCTTTGTTTCTGGTGCCAGAGAGAACCACTAAACCTAACTTTCCTTCAAATTGCAGAAAGAATGAAGTTAGTTAAGAACTGTGAAATTAATTTGGATTTTTTATGTCTTTCTTCAATAAGATAACTGTCATGCTACTTTCTTTCTGGCATGTTTGTTGAAAAATAAGATTTTAAGGTTCTCCTCACTGAGTAGGTAGACAAAACAATTCCTTTTCCAGCTTGAGACCAAGGACAACCATTACAAGTTTCAGGTCTAGAGGTATAATCAACAGGAAACTGAAGAGCAAATAAGGAGGATGGTGTCAGAATCTGAGGTATTGATGATCCTGAGATTGTAAAAAGTCTCTGTCTTTCTGCCCCATTGCCAAAGAAGTCAGAATTTGTCTGTGCTGGTTTTCAAGGCTGTTTATTCTTGCTTATCTATAACTTGTTCTGCTGCCCTGCCACAGGTCTGTCCTGCAGGGCAGCGTGTGGGGCTCTGCCCTCAGTGGGATGTTACAAACATTATATACCAGAAACTACCTGTGCTGTATTTACAATAATGTGCCAATATCTGTCACGTTCGTTGAACAGTGTGTCCCCAGTCTAAACCAATAGAAAAATGCCAACACTACAGTGGAACATGGAGGGCATGTTTCCTCCATCTTGTACCCTTTGAACCCCTAATCTTGAATCCTAAAATTTTACTTTTGCACCCATGCCACACTTAATTATTACTTATATCAAACACTCAGAGCTTGTAATTCATCCTGTAAGACTGAAAACTTTTTTGCATGGACAGACATCAGAGACAGTGTCTCTCAGGGCTCTGTACAGGGGGGTTCCTGACCCTCTGCCAGACCTTCCAGGGCAGCCAGAGGGAAGCCCTGGATTCCCACAGGATGGGACTTCATAACCTGAAGTTATAATTGGGCAATTAACTCCAATGTGAAAATGGACCAAAACTTATAAAATTGTGAGACCTCATGACAGGTCATCCATTTTTGTGACCATTCCTGATCCATGGATGTAGCCCTGGCCAAGCTCTTGTACTGCCCAAGGTGTATCCTTTAAGGCCTTTCAATAAATACCTACTTTATTCCTTTAGCTCTGGTTAGTCTGTGTTCCAGATCAGCCTCTCAAGGCATCAAATCATCCTCAGGATTAGCATAAAGCAGTACTTCTGCTGTTTTCTGTTTGCTAGTCTTTATGCCTGGAAGAGTGATTTGCACGTGATCCTACATTGCAGCCCTGCAGTATTTCTGAGGCTCAGGCTGGATTCAATTTTGGCAACTGTCAGCAAAAAGTCCTGTATTTTGGCACTAAAAAAGACCCCTGATCATTTTTTAATACTTTGCTAGCTCTAAAGATACAATGACAAAGGGAAGCACGTCGTGTAAGATTTATGTCAGCTAATTTTAGGTGTTTTAAAATTTAACCCTAAAATCTAAAGCTGTCACTCTCTTTATAGTGACCAACAAGCATTTTCAATGGACATTTATTTGGGCATGTATTAGGTATTTATTTTTAGAATAAATTGACCTGATTTGATATCCAGAGGTACCTATTTCATTATAGGACTATAAAGGGACCCAAAGCACATTTAGCATTTATCTGGGATTTAGAGATAACTTTTTATTTATGCTTGGGCAAATGTATCCTTCTGTTAACACCAGTCAGAATGCTTCTGTATGTCATGGATCAATATCTGAGCAATAAATCAATTGAAACCATAGGAAAGGTTTCTTATTCTTGTGAAAAAGTAGGAATAATGATCTAGAAAATATTTTTGCCATCTTACAGATATGTTTTCACTCTCCTGAGTTTCACTTGGACAGATGAAGTGATGAGCATTAAAAACTTTTTTTTATCACCAAACCTTATTCAATATGGGGTTTCAAAATATTTTCCTTCTCAAAATATCTCATTCTCAACATTTAAGTGAGAGCTGCAATTTTTTTTCTAGCTCTTCACAGATACTTGAAGCTTAAGGGAACTTCTGGACTAAGAACCATCAGGACATAAAACACTAAAGCAGAAAGTGATGTAATGTCTCTCTCCCCAGAGCTCACTTGGTTCCCACCAATTTTGTCCATTTAATCTGCAAATCAGTCTGTAGATTAGAAAACTAAAGCACTTCTTTTTAATGTTGTGCTCCAGTGTACTCTGTGCCTGGAGAAATGGCATAGATATGAAGTTACTCTTAGCCTACTGCAAAGCTGAGCCCCTCACTCCTTGGAACATCATAGTTCTTTCAGTCTGACAGCCAGGGGAAGTCTTCATTTAGTGCTGTCTGTGCTCAGTATAATATTTTGTGAAACAAAAATTCTGCTGCTGTGTCACCCAGCAAACAAACCAGAAATTCCATAGCCAGATTATTTTTAGTTTCATTCATAATTTTCATATAGATAATAGGATTTAAAATGTGCTGCAGTACTCTAAACAAATTCTTATAAGATCCAGATAATGTCGGAGACACATAACAATAACCTAATTAATCCTGCTGAATGATCAAAACTGACATGATAGAGATTTTAGTTTCTACAGATTTCTGAACATTAGGACAAAACAGAATTATATGTCTAAGTTGGAATTCTCCCATTATATTTTCAATTCTTTTTATTCTTTTTTAGTCCACTTTCTCTACTATCTCTCCTTAAAACAATTTACCAAATGCATATTTTGAAGATTAGTTTTACAGTTTCCTGCAGCCATTACTGGTAAGGATTGAAAACAAGTAGGTAACCTGGAAGGTGTTCAGAGGTGCTGGAAAGAGCCCTGTGCCTTGTGTTTATGTCCCAATAACTCTGTTTTGATGAAGTGGTGAGAATCATGTGGTCCTTTAAAGGTGGGATTAGGAGGGAAGGTCAGGTTGTCAGGGAAGCTGTGGTCCTTTTACTCTTCTCAAGCAGAGTATATTTCATGGCCTGGAGTTACTGAAGCCTGTTCCCTGCAAAGGCATGAGCCTAGACTGATTCTAGTGTCTTCTAGTTTGGGTTTGTGATTCACAGTTTAGGCCCATAATATTTCAAGTTTCTTATTTATAGTCAGAGAATTTGGTACTTTTGACCTTCCCTATGTGGAACTGAAAGTAGCTTTACAGCTAAAACAAACTTAAAAAAAAAAAAAAAACAAAACAAAAAAAAAACACGTCAACAGTGTAGTGAATTTACTTGCAAGGGAATGTGAACCACATTCCACAGGGGCTCTGTAAAATTTTTAACTAGTTGTGTCCTTACCTTGTAAGTGCACAGTAAACAGTTGCAGTGCAAATAAGACTTGGGATAGGTTTCCTTCCAGTCTATGCATTGCCAGAGGTGATATTTGTGCTTTCATAGCCCAAGGTGGATAACTGGTTTTAGAGACTAGACTTCCATAAAGGAGCAGACACCACCGTGAGCTGTGAAACACTGAGATAATGTCAATACAATCACAAATTAATGGGGAGAAGTCTTATTATTAGCAACAATGTACAAGATAGAAAGTAGGTCAAGTACTACAAGTAACTGCAAGTCTGGAAAGAGGCAGAAGTAGGCTTTTGACAT